TCCATGGTCATGCAATATTAATATTATTTTATCTAAATTAACATCTCCAATGGTCATGCAAGACATCAATTTAAGAAAGCTTAAGGAACCTATGAACTTGTTAATTTAATAACGATTAGAAGAGAAATATTAGTTTCGTCCACCTAATCCTTTGTCTCGTTTTACCCTATAGATCTATTAATTAACCGAGGTACGGTTGCCTGACGATATAATTAATTAGGATTAAAAAAAAGCGCAATAGGATAAAATCTAATCACAAAATGTAAATCAAATTTAAATTCAAATATCAAAATTCGATAAATCCATGAACAATAGTTCTCATAGCCCTAGCTGTGGACTTAGTTACTCATGCTAAAGAAAAGAATTAAAACAATCATAAACAAAGCCATAATCAAAAGAAATAGCAAACTAGAGTGTGAGATGTGTTCCCGGTCTTCAAGTACGATTACTTGAAGCTCCAAGTCTCGCCAAGCATATGCCAAGGATCCCGTGCAAGAGAGACGAGATCAGATGTATTCTAAAATCAAAGCCAAGATGTCAAAACCGTGTTCCTAATGGTGGCTCCAGTCTTCTTTTTAATAAGATTTGAAAACCCTAAAAACTCTTCATAATTGGGCTTCCCGCAGATGTGCACGGCCGTGCAAGGCCTTAAGCACGACCGTGCATGGGCTTAAAGCACCCTGTTCTTGTTGGAAGAGTCTGGGCGTGCTGGCTGCTGCGAAGCTCTAATCTTCTAATCAATTTGGGCCCAAAATGCACCCAAAATTCACTTGCGGCCTCTTTATACCAAACTACACAATTAATATATAAATTAGTGTAAAACTCAAATAAAATAAAGGTCAAATATGAATATATGGGTTGTAAAATAAGGCCTAATTACAGACTTATCAATGCCTCACCTTGCCACAATTGTAACACTTATTGGACTTGCAATCCTTCGCATAGTGACCATATTTGCCGCACTTGTAGCACCCATTGTTGGAATAATTTGATCGACCGACTCTCGAACGACCATGTCCTCTTCCACACCAATTTTGCTAGTTTGAATGTTCTTTCTCCTTATAATACCCTTCTTGACCACGATCTCTACCACCGCGACCATTTCCTCAACTTCCACGGCCACGCCCTCTGCCTCGAATGTTTTGAGAATAGAGTGTCTTTTCGTCTTTAATTGACGCCTTGGTTTGAAGTGCTTCCTCAAGTATCTCCTCCGCCTTCTTCTTACATTGTTCGTGTTCCTCGAGAGAACTGGCGAGCTCGTTAATCGTAAGCGTTGTTAGGTCCTTTGACTCTTCTATAGCACATATGACATTCTCAAAACTGTCAGTTAACGACTTCAAAATCTTCTCCACAACTCGTGCATCAATTAAAGCTTCTCCGTTTCAGTTGAGTTGATTCACCACGGTTTGAACACGCGTGATGTAGTTGGAGACCCCTTCCAACTCCTTCATCTTCATACTTTCCAACTCACCACGAAGAGTTTGAAGGCAGACTTGTTTAACCCAGTTAGCTCCTTTTTACACATTCGCCAAAATGTTCCATGCTTCCTTTGAAGTTTTTGCATTCACAATCTTCTCAAAGCCCGACTCGTCAACAACTCGAAACAACATGTACAAAGCCACCTTATCTTTTGATAGCTTCTCTTTCAACACCTTGTGTTGAGTCGCCGAATATTCCATTGTAGTTTTCGGTTCTTCAAAACTTTCTTAGACCACCTCCTAACCATCTTGAGACCCAAGAAGAGCTTTCATTTGAATGCTCCAGTTCTTGTAGTTCGCCTTCGTTAGTCGGGGCAGTGGCACATTATTGGTCACACTTACCATAAGCTCTTGATACCAAATTGTAGAATTAAAAACTGATAGAGAAAAAAAACTCTTTCTATATATCTCACGCATTTTGTTGAACAATACAATGATTTATCTATAAAATGAAAAGCTTAAATTCTATTAATAACCATAAATTACAATTAAAACTCATTATAGCCATTTATCAAAATAACTACTGACTTTTGATCTTTTATTCTAAAAAAAACTGCTGAATTAAAACTATTAAAATTAACATTTAAATTTATTTAACAAATATTGGACTATCCATCGTAACTAAAACTCATAAAGGTTACAGGAAATAGCTTAACTAAATAATTAAACATAAACACCTACTAACTATCTTAATTACTAATTTTATTTAGTATTTAATTAACTAATGTAATTCGTTGATGTCTATGGTAACCACTTAACCGTTATGACTTCGATAATTTGTGAGTCTGCTCAACTTCAATTATTTAATCCACCTTAAAGTTCTAAGCCTAAAGTTCATGGTTAATTTACCTAACTTATGTATTTAACTTAACTAATTACTTTATCTTTACTAAACCATTATTTTTATTATGTGATCATAAGAGCAGTAATGTCTTTTCATGCTCACATCATTTTATTATTATTTTCACTGGACAAAGTCTTTAAAACCTTAAACTTGTCAATCATATTATCTTATTGCTCAAGGTGTCCTCAATTTTTGTGATAATTTTGAAGCTTTCTGACCATTATTAGAAAATAAAAAAATCCTTAATTTTTGTGACAATTTTGGAGGTTTCTAAACAGTATTAGAAAAGAAAAAGTGTTAATAACATATCATGTAACACTTTTTTTTCAACACTTCAAACTATCAGTTAAAATTATTGAGAATTATAAAAATAATGCAAATTTCACTCTTTCTAACTCCTAATTTAATGTTTTTTTTTTGTAATTTAAAAATATTCAATAAATTTTAACCAATAAATAAAAGTGTATTAAAAAGTGTATATTGAAAAATATATTACTAACTTTTCGTGAGATCAAACAAGAAAATTCAAAACTCTACCATAAGTCATAGAAAATTTCAAAAATGGTAAAACTTCTTGGATAGTCCCCACACACGTACTAAAACATCCACACCAAAAATTATAACGAAATAAGAATCATTGCTAACTTGTCGTCGGAGCAAGAATCATCTTAAGCACAACATAATAAACATTCATATAAAATTGTAGACAATTCTACAAATCAAGAAATTTGAGCCACTGACAAAAAAAAATAAAATTAGAATGTGGTTCAGTCCAATTTTCTCATATAAGGCCTACGCATCACAATTCAAATTGTTTTCTCATATAAGGCCTACGCATCACAATTTTCTCATACAGTTTTAGCTAATGGACAGAACAAAATTTTTGAAACATAAAATTTCATCAAACATCATGCATATCTTGATCTAAAGTAACATAAAAAGGAGTTGAAGAGGAAAACATGCAAAACCTCTCTTCCCTAAGTACCCTCTTTTCCCACAAAACAACTTGGTAAATTTCCATCTCTTTACACTAAAAACTTTAGTAACCGAAAGAAGAGTTTCGGTCTTCCAAGGACTTGAATTTTAACCTTTTTGAAACACAGCCACTTGAAAACATTAGGATAAATAGAAAGAGAGATAAAACACAACATGCAAGGGCTCTAGAGTGGCAAGGACACTCACAGGGTGGAGAAGACAAAAGAGCCAAGGAGAGGGCTTTTCCACGCAACCTTGAGCTCGTTAGAGTGCTTGGAGGATGGTGAGCTCAAAATCAATTTTGCGTGTGGGAAAAGATGAAGCTTATGGTGGAAGAATGCCTCCATTCTGACTTTGAAGAAGGTGGAAGATGGAATTTTTTGGAAAGGGAAAAAGAGTTTTGTGGTAGAAGTCGAGAGGATCTCATATATGCATTTGCATGCAAAGGTGAAAAAATAATGGTGGCGGTGAGGGCGGTGGCCATGAGGCATACGCAGGGAGAGAGAAAAGTCCTTTTTATTTTGCATTATTTTTAATGATTTTTTAAAGTAGGTAAAGATATATGATAAAAATATTAACAAATAATATTTTTGTATTGAAGATTATAATATATAATATTATAAAAATATTGAATTCAATAATATTTTATGATTTTTTAATGAAATTTATCGTAGATTAGTTTTTATTGTGTTGGAAATGAATTTGAACTGTGAGTTTTCAATTATTTTAATTTACATGAGTGACGACCAAGAGAGAAATAAACTTCACTGTGTTTTATGATTCAGGGGGTACTTGCACTGTTTTTTATGCTAAAATCTGAAGCACCTTTGGGAGTGGCTGAGTTTTTTATTTTTAAAATAAAACATGTTAAGTAAAAATAGAGCTAAGTTGATTTTAACTTAATTTTAAAATAATTTCATCTCAGTTTTTTTTTCAAAAGCTTTAATTTTAATTGTAAAAATAAATCATGCAATCTTCATATATTGAAAGTACACAACAACTATCGTTATTGTGACGACCTATGTCTTTATCACAACAATATTTTCATTATTATTATAATTATTCTTACCATTAATAATTAACATTACTCTCATCTTAATTATTACCATTACAGTAATTATTAATGTTATAATTCTTGCTATTATTATTATTATTATTATTATTATTATCACAATTATCTTTTTTATTATTATTACCATTCTCACATTATTATCACTATTATAAATATAATTATTACTAACAATCATAATGTTTGCTACCGTTGTTACTCCGACTATCTCCTCGTAACAAAGGAAATGTTATTTATATGATTTGATTTTAAGATTTGATATAAATATTTAAAAATTATAATGTACAAAAATTTGAAACTAAAAACTTAGCTTATTTGAATTTTTTTTTTGTTTTAAAAAGCTATTTTACAAAATAATTTTTAAAAACTTTTTTAAAAAATAGAAAAGAAAATTTTGATCAATTACTTAAATAATAACAAATTTTGTTTCACCTATGAGTTTCTGAAACTTCTCACACTCTGGTTCCCACACATAGGTTTCTGAAACTTTTCACACACTGTTAGTAAAATTCTCTCTTCAAGTATTTAACACAGTTGCATCCAATTAGACTTAAACTTGAGACTACATTCTCTTTCAAAATATGTATTTATCATAATTGCATTCAGTTAGAACTCAAACTTTAAACTACAGTTTAAATTAAAATAACCGCTTGCCGGATGATCCATGTATTAGGGGGTTCAAGTGCCTTTGAATAAACGTTACAAAATCTGTTTATTAATTATTGATCACATTTCATAAGTATGTACTAAGTAACATTTTTAATTGAAAGATATTTACTTCTAACATTTTATCGATGGCTTCGTAGAATTACCAACCCCAACAATGCACAGTGGCGCATTGGGACTTCGAAAGGCGGCATCAATGGTTAGGAGCTCTGATTTCTCTTACTCTTGTTGATCTTAAAAGAAGAGAATGAATTTAACATTCAAAGAGAAAATCAGGAACAGAAAACAAAAGCACAACAAATTTTAATTGAAAGGAAATAAAAATATCAAACAAAATCTCATTCCTAACAGGATCCCTCTTTTGTTTTTCGTCTATGTACAATTTTAGTCTTAGTTTTAATTCCTCTCATTTAGTTTCCAGTAATTTTTCAAATACTTAAATTAAGAATATGTTTGATTTCATTTTTAAAAATAATTTTTAATTTTTAAAAATAAAATGTAATATAAATTTGTACTATATTTTATTTTTGAAAACTAAAAACTGTTTTTAAAAATAAAATCAAATATATATATATATATAAATATTTAAATAAAAATATACAATAAAATATAATAAAAATCTTTATTTTAGGTTAAATGATTTAATTTAAATACTTAAAAAACTAGACTAAATAAATGCAAATAAGAACAATTAAAAATAAGACACCAAAATTACAATTATATTAAAATACGTACAAAGTATAATTAAAAAATCAATTTTTATAAAAGCATTTATCAAACAAGTTTTTATATTTTCAAAGCATACAATTATTTTTAAGAACAGTAAACATACCCTGTAAAACTGAAAACTGATTTTAGTTTTTATAAATAGTGTTTGCTACAGTGCTCTTAAACTTGATGGTATATGAAATACTCTCTCTACATTATATTAAAATATTAAAAGATATTTACATCTTTTACAGATACACTACTAACTATATTACTAAAATCATCGGATATAATTGTTTCACGTATATAAAAGCATAAAATACTTCCTTATTTTTTTTTAGCACCATAGAATCTAAAACATTAATGAATGGGGCAAACTCCCGCTTGAAATTTGACGTGGGAGGCTATGCCAATCTCTTGTTACATATATGCATCTCAAAAGAGATAAACAAAAAGACATTAGAACTCCATATATGTAAAATCAATCGTGTATCAAATTTAAACAATGCTCATGTAAAATCTGGATCCTGTTAATATATGCTTAAGGGTTTTTAAATTTACGCATGAAAACGAATACATGTCACCTTTCTTGCCACAGCCCAAAGATATATAAACACTAGGAATTGCATTCAGGACCGGATACAACCTGAACGATCATTGAAATGACAATTAAGAAATGAAACCAATCAACATCAAATGCATTAACCTCTAAATACCATGAAGCACACAAGGGCAGAAGCAAGCAGGCCTACCTCTAATTACGCTTCAATTACCGCTTGGAATCATTCATGCTTTTTCCTTCAAAAAATTCACCCAAGATTCGCTCTAGATCTTCTGCAGTGTATTTGATGTACCTTTGAGTAGTCTTTACATTCTCCACTAGAGGCCTGTGATGCATTAGGATCTGAGTTATAATTTATAGCTAAACAATATATCATACAAAAGCACAAAGCATTGAATGCAAACAAATCAATTCTTGAGCTGTTGGAGTGAATCAGCAGCTAGATAAAACTGTCAGAAAATTTATGTACTTTAGTCTCAAGGTAGGAAAAGACATTATTTAACATCCATCGATACCTGTTCCCATAAAATAAAGATAATCTGAGAAGGATACTACATTACACACTCTCAGAGATGCTTTAAATTACAGTCCTCCCTCTAATTTTAAAAATTACACTTCACTTAAAGATGAAATGTATTATAATGTAAATGAACCTCTAATTAGAGACAAACAACTGTGAGCCTCCCAAGAACATTCTTCCTTGCAATATTTAATATCATTGGTAATTAATTTTGAATATCCTATTATTCAGGACACCAGGAAATAAAATAAAATTTAAAAAAATCCAATTGTCTGACCATGGAACAACACCCAAAATCTTCATTTCATCTTCTGAAGCCCCTAAGTTAACAATACGGGCTCAAAACTAATATCAATGACAGAGAATTATGAGAGAAAAAAGCTCATTTGCATTAAAATGGACTAAAGAAAAGCACTTTAATTTCTCATGGGATGGAAGTGTAATTTTACACACTCTCTGGAAGGGAAGTATTTTTAAGAATTTCCCAAGGGAAGGGGGGGGGGGGGGAGGTGCAATTTGCCCAATTGTGTAATGGTGCAATCATATAAACAACTAATTATAATGAGAATTCGCACCCAAAACGTTTCACAAACGATCTGTAGGCAGGCAACAAGACTTCAGCAACTGCCAGAATAAGAGACTCTCGCAACTCTGCATCAGGTACTGTCCACTGAGTTTGTTTCTGATGAAGTTCCTCAAACATAGTATTGAATGTCTTAAACCTGAGAACAGTCATATTGATACGTGAAAAGAGGACAAATGCTTTACTTGAAATGAAGTCCATAAATATGCAACCGAAAAACTACCTCTCTTTAACAATAGCTCTTGAAGCACCACTACTGCCCCCATCACCGCCTGCAGTACTACCCCCACCACCTGATGAGATGAGGCCCTGAATAGACAGGGACTGAAGAATCTGCAATGGAAAGAATCAAAATTCAGAAATGGCACAGTACCTTCTCAAGTAATTGCAAATCAATGGAGAATGAGCAACTTGTTTTTTCAGCCACATGCAAAAGATCGAAAGGAAAAAAATTACTTCTCACCAAAATAATTGATAGAAAATATAGAGAAATGTGTGTGAATGTTGTGTGTGTCAAAGATGCTATATACTTGTGTATTTACGATCACATATGAGTACATAAAAAGAATCAAGCAAATCCCCTAATTGTTATAATGGATATCCCAATTACAGTAACTGTTACAAATATTAACAAAATAAATATGTTATCTAACAGAAAATATAAATAGAATTGCATTGACTGTATAATCATTATAAATATACAATTTTTCAAAGAGAAGTAGGATGCTAAATAAAAAAATTTATGAGTGGTCTGGCCACTTGAATAAAAGGAAGCACCGTTCAAAATATATTTAAATAATTAGGAATTTCAAGAATCACAGGATCTCAGAATGTAATACCAAAGTAAGCCAAGACAACCATCTATACAGGCTGGAAGAAAGACTGTATTATCATCAGTCAGCCTTGTCAAGCCACCATTCTAAAATTGTTTTTAAAATTTAACCCAGAACACAGCCTCAATGAATTATAGAATGATAAAGCATCGATGGAACCGTCTCTGTTCTCTGAAAACAAACTTGCATCATCTTTACAAAGCAAATGTAAGACTGCAACTTCCTTTAACAAAAACAATTTTTTGTATTTTACTTTCTCAATTTTTTTCCTCCAGATACTATAGGTGTGATTTACTTTATTCTTGCCTAAATTAGTTGGGCACCTATAGATTCCAAGCCATAAATATAAAATTCAGCAGTTCTTTAATCGTATAATTCCCCACTTTCTAAAATGTGAAGCCAATAAATAGCATATTCAAAAGAGTAAACTCCTAAACCGGTTGTCCAATGATTACAGTGTCATGACTTTAGCATCTAAGATTTTTGTCACCATATTAATCGCTCAAAAGTCTAAAATATCACCACATTCATTCTTATGAAGGAGAAAAGTGGTGACAGCAAAGGAAAATTTAGTAATTGCTTTTTATCTTTGAAGGATAACTTCAGTGACAAAATCCTTTCAAAACTTTGGAAGATTAATATGGTAACATGCTAATGTTTGAGGACCATTCAGGGCTTTACTCTATTCCAAACAATATAATGATTAAACAGAGAAAGATTATGCTAGCAGAATTCTAGATGCAAACTTATTTTACTCCCCTTGTAGCATAATTCAAAGGCTAGTAACAGAATTCCTAAATCGAACTAAATAAAATTATGCAATGAAATTCAGAAAGATCCACTTCAAATGACAATTTTAACTCAATCTACTCAAAAAAGAACCACAACCATCTGCCTTTATTAATAATCTTCAGATCTAACAGAAAACATAACATCCAAGAAAGTTGCAAACATATAGTGGTCATCTAAATCAATAGAAAAACGACCTTTGCCCAAGCATTTCTTTTGTATTGATTGGCATGCTGTTGCACAATCTTCCTATGTCGTTGTATCCAATCATCCCCCAACAAATCCTTTGCTTCAGACCTAAAACAAAAGAGGATTAGGATAATAATAACTTTAAACAAGAAGAGGATGCAGCAAAATTCACAGGATTCGATGAAATTAAAACCAAGACATATGGATGACATACCTTCGAACTGATCTGACAATATAATGAATATTGTTCATGAGAAATAGGTGTGTCAAAGCAGGGTCCCTATACTGCTTTGATTTTCCATCTAAATTGGTTTGAAGAGCTTGCAATATTTGCATTGTTACAGATGCTAACTGTGAAGAATTGCCTTCAGCTTCAAAACCTTGGAAAAGTTGGGTTAAGGTAGAACGATAGCTGCAAATATAAGTGAATTCTGGTACAGTTAAACATGTCTCAACTGTAGACAGTGCAAAATTTACAAACACAAACAAAGAAGATAGGACATAAGCATGAGAATTATCCTTGCATATAGGAGAGAAATTGAATGGATGATAAGTAATTTCACTTAATATAGAATAAATGCACAGAATTGCCAAATTTCTTGATTTGAAACATTAACAAGTATGTGAAAAAAAGAACAACTCAGTTTAGAAGAGTTGGAATTTTCAAATTAGCTCTATAGAAACAACAGGACGTTTCAGTAAAGATCTAATGAAGACAACAAATTTGTTACAGACATGCTGCAGACCCTTTACAGTAACAATTAATCTTACAGGCATTGGGAAATCTGATGCAAAATTCTGGAGCTCCCTACTTATTCTTAATAGGAGATTATGCATATGAATTAACTATACACAAGCTAGAAACCATCTTTCTTTCACATGCAAGCTACATTTTTCTCCAAACCCAAACCAAAACACATGACTTTTTCATATTTCCAAATTTCTATTTTGCTCTAGCCAAGTAATATTAGTTTCCTGGCAACAGTTTTTAGGACACATGAACCAACTCCTGTGTTGTCATGGGGCTGAAAACCCTAGTTGTTTTAGTAAGGCTGCCATTGTCAAGGTTTGAGACTTGGTCTCAAGACAACCATCAAGGTGAGGGTATGTTGTGTCAAGGTCTCTGATCAGATGTCCCTCTGAGTGCCATCGCTGAAGGCCCTAGCACAGACCCTCATGCACCCCAATACCCATCCTTTCTACCTGCATCTGTAGCTCAAGCACTACTTACAAGGCTTCTACAACAGACTAATCCTTTATCACCTTTGAAGCCCCAAATGTCCTTAGAGCTCTCTCTGGCATTCCCACTATAGCCCATGAAACTCTGCCATGAACTGGGACTGGTATACTGCTGTTGATTTATATGACTTTTAGGCCAGAAACTATCAGAGCATTCCACCAAGAAGGTAGAGGACATTGATTAGACTAGGAAGGAGGAATGGAAGAACACTGATTATTAGTTGGTTTCTGCAGTCCATTGATCCAAAATTGTTAGGTGAAGATGCATTAATGGTTTGATATCTAACACACCATTACACGAGTCCATTGGGTTTGATGCATGGACAATGCACAAGAACATCCTATCTTGTGCTTAAATTTAAAATTTATTTAGAATAATGAAGGTAAAAAGGATCAAACTCTAGACTACATGACTCAGAGGTTCTAATAGCATGTCATAAACCAACTCTATCAAAAGCTTAAGTGACAAGATGACTCATGAATGGTTTTATATCATTAGAAACAGACTAGACATAACTGCCAGAAGCTAAATCAAGAAAGCAGGTTACCACGTCTTATAATTTAGAGTATTCTTGTTACTCTCTTATGCAATGTGAAACATCGAACCCCTTCACACCCAAGAACGGATATTTGGAGAGGTAAAGTTTGTAGAACTAGACATTTGTAGGTAGCCCAATATTAAGATCGAATAGGCTTTGATAGCATCTTAGAAATGGACCAAGCCTTACTCCCAAGAGCTAGTTCAAGAGAAGAAGATTGCATGGAATCTTTTAAGGAATATCTAATAAGGATTACTGTTTTCTTTTCCCTGCTAGCACAGTGTGCCCCAAACACATAGGGATGATTAAAATCCCCATTGTGTTGACAAAGTTGTTTGTCTTTAGTAACAATCACTAGTGCAATTTCTGTACCAATTTAACTAGTTCAGGCTAGGGAGAACTAAACAAATAAATACAAACAAGTGAGGATAGATAATTGGAAAAAGAAATTAAAAAAAAAGCTGGACAAATGAAAAGAAATTTAAAGAAAATCAATAAAATTTTCTGTGCAACTAATCACATCCTAAATGAATAAAGAGGCAGCTTTTGCACCAGTGAAAACAATATAGAATGCTAGATATAATTTCATTAGTCATCTTGAGAATTTGAAGCATAATATAGCACAGATGAACTTACTCAAATAAAAACTTCACATAGTTAATCACATAACTTGTCAAAGGATGGACAGTTCCATCGGTTACTGCAGTCTTTGTAGCATCTTTCTCAACTGCTTCTTCAAAATCTCCAAAGGTCTCCTGGGCTGTTTGTGCAAGCTGTTTTGTCAAACCCAGTACAGCTTCTCTTATTTTGGTGCAAGCTTTTCCTTTAAAGATTGTTTCAATCTACAAATTGTAAGGAGAAAAAGTTGATAATAAGTTACAACCTTGAAATGTCTCCTGTTTGCTTATGGTAACCACATGTAAACCAGCCACAAAACCCTACATTGCATGACCATGAACCGCTAATATATCATACATTTTGGACTAGTGACATCATTAATGCCATAGCTAATGCAAAATTCTATCACAGGTTGAATATAAAAACAATTAAGAGTCTAAGAGACCCACTTTAACGAGAAGAGTATAATGCTCTAATTGATCATAAACTAACCTTTCATCTGCCGAAACACATGCCAAAGGCTTCTCATGTATACTTGAGATAGGTTTTGTTATTCATTTATATGAATATTCAAAATAACTTCTTCTTGAATAAAAATAGAGAAAGTGGAAATTATATAATTTCAAGATAATGAACAATAAAGACCATAATTGTATACATATATATGTTTTTTTATGCACTTGAAATTATAGAATTTGGATAGGCAACAGGAAGAGAAGATAATAATGACTTTAAATAATATACATCAATAAGGACTTGAGGAATGTAATGATGTGACAAATACAAAATGGTAAATTGCTAATCCTAATTATATAAGGGAACAATTCATGAAATTAGCTTTAAGAGATCATCAAACATATTATTCCAATATACAATACTAATGTTGGAATTATGTAACTATAGCAATGTTGTAAATAGGGAAATTAGTATATTTGTAATTACGGTAGTTAGGAAATGATTCCTATAATAAAAACATGCTCGCTATGGAATAAGGATTACGGAGAATCATAATTGGCCATTGAATGTCAAATAAAATTTTATAACTAACCCAGTTAGAGTTATGAAACCTTAACCGTGGACTGAAAGTATCAGCAAGATTCATGAATTTGGATGTTAAAATTCATACCTCTGAATGGATCTCTTGCAATATTTCATACATGTCCAGAAGTACAAATAACTTTTCAGGTGATCTCTTGCTTTTTGCAATTGCTTCTCCAAAACTAAGTAGCATGGAGACACTGTTGGTAGTTACTTCAGCAAAACACTGATCACTGAGTGAATCAAATCCTTCAAATATCTGATCACAAACTTTCCGTTCACCAGCAAACAACAATTTGACCTGTTCATGTATAATTCCATATTTGATCCCAAATTAAATAAAGATAAAAAATTGAACAAAATTGAATATATGGTTCTTACAGCAATACGCATGAAATGAATCCAGTTTCCAATTTTGGCTTCCAATACTTCCCATTGTAGCTTTTGGACATCATCTTTGCTAAGTTTCTCAACTCCAAGTTTTTGCAGGCTTTCTTCCAATACATTTGAACGGGTATCTCTAAACAATAGTGATGATGACAATCATAATTATACCAATTGTAATAATAATCATAACGATAACAGTTAATATTCTTCAAACAGTGATAGGAGACACATATGACTGTAAGGAAGCATTTGGTAGAGGGATTCTTTTATATTTTTTCAGGAATCTTACGTTGAAAATTTTAAATTCCCATGTTTTAGTATGAATATTTAAAAAAATATGCCCAACATACTAACATTCTCACAAATGCTTTTCTCAATCAAGTTTCCTAAGAAAACATTCTCATGCAAAGGGTAGGAATCTAATATTTTCATGAGGATGCAAAGTTTTTTATGATAACAAAATATAATCATACCTGTCAATATTCTCAAATTTAAACCTAGTTTATGTTATCTTTCCATGAAACATAATAATTCCCAGAAACCAAAAAAGATTTTGTACACCAAACATCCTCTAATTGTCTGCATTAGCATATGGATGTAAACAAATAATTACACACCTATCATTAAGCAAGGGACCGTGTATGTTATTGTATAAGCATTATATATGTTTACTTGCCAATCAAATACAAGTACAAATACTAACAAAATAATGGTGGAAATTGATAGTCTACTTATATTTTTCATTTACATTTTTTTGTTTTTTCAAAAAATAATTATTTTTCTTTCTCTAAAAATTAATAATTTAAAAATTAATATTTTTATTTTTTATAAATTTTAAAAAAAAATCTCATTTGAAAAATTAACATTTAAAAAAAAATTAGAACCCTAATTGTGAAAGAGTACAAGAGAGAGAGAAAGAAAACTTCCTGAAATGGGGAATTCAAAGAACTAACGTTCAGAGGGTTTTTGAAGGTTTAGAAAAACTCCCAAACAAGGGTTAACCCATCTTTTCCTAAACACAACTCTTAAACATAGCCTAAAGGAAGAACATAAGAAAACAGTGAAGAGTGGCAAAATTATGAATGTTAAGATGGATGAATAGTCACACAAGAAAGAAAAAAATAAGAAATGATCATATCCATGAGAATATTTAAGTAGCACTCATAGTGAAACAGATTACTACAACAGTTAAGGTAGTTTGATCACATGTGGAGAAGACCATTGGAGACACTAGTAAGGAGAGTGAATGGCATGACTTTGATTTTTAACTAGTAAAAAGGGGTAGAAAGAGACCTAAAAGAAACTTAGATGAAGCTATTAAAAGAGATTTATTGATTAATAATATTTCTGAGAATTTGATTTTTAACTGAACTCAATAGCGTCGTCTGATCCATGTAACTGACCTCAATAAGTGAAATAAGGCTTGGCTGTTGTTATTGTTATTTTATACTCAACAAATCTTGAATGAATTCTTTTCCAAGTCAAAAAAGGTATATTTGACAATCCTACACTTGGCTGTCGATGAGAATAGGAATGGCTTACCTATTGCTGGTTCCATAGAATTAACCAACCAAACCATGGAATTTTCGAGATCATGTTGCCAAGCTGGAACTGTTCTCCTCTGGATCTTTTTTTTCATCCCTATTAAGGAGTTCAAGCTTCCTTTTTCACCCTATTATAAACTTTACAGTTTGAGCACAGTTCTAAACTGACTTGGATTAGATCTTGTAGATGATAGGAAATCAATGCCAGGTACTGGAGTAACGGTAAATGCTGGCTACAGACAGCATCTTCAAAGGAAACCAAGCCATAATTAGCTTCTACATGGCTGATTTTACCATGGCTCTAGTAAGTCACCAAAGCTCTTATTTAAGAAATTATGGAAAGTAACAACTCTTATCCTTATCCTAACAGGGGCTAACAAACTTACTCCAAACAAACTCCAAATTTCTGTCACTCATGAAAAACCCAAAACAAAATAGGAAAAAAGAAACACACAACAGTAACACAACCCATCAATCAAAGAACACAGAAATCTAACATTGGATTTGATAAAATCTACACCACTCCTTTAAGTTGCAGCTGAGCACAATGGTGCAACACCCAAATAGAATCACCAAGAACTCTATTTAAGCTGCACCGTAACAGATTACAGATTCCTCTGTTAATGTCACAATACCACAAGCCATCCGGCAATAGATCAACTAAAAGAACTACAGTAACCTCAAGAGAAAGATATAATGCTCAAGAAGGAGCAGAATCATACTTGAGAGGAACATAAACCTACCATAAATTGCCTAAAACAATTCTGGTTGAAATATATACTCCCCCTAGCCTACAGCTATATTAATATCTACATCATACAATTGGATAGTTGTCAATCAATCACCTAGAGTCAATCCCAAATTAATCACACAATGTCAAAGCTTCATTCACAAAACTCAATCTTTTTCTACACTTGTAACAGGATTGAACATGATAAAAAGCTTTAAAAAGAATATTTTTCTTATCAGGATACTTTTGCAGTATACAAATATGGAGGACCATAGCAAAGCAGGCAATTTCCATTTCCTTTTACAATAAAACAGTCAAGAGAAGAAGCTATACCTGTATATTTTGAGCAACTGTTGTTGATGACCAGCTTGAACCATTTGCTGGGTTAAATCAGAGAGCAATGGCAAAATTCTTGGTGGCATAAGATCAGGGGGCGTGTATACAACAGCATCAACATTATTTTTATGTGGCTCAGAATGGATATTAGAAGAATGATTCTTGCCACTAGGATCACCATCACGGCCAGGTGATGCTGATGAAGGTCTCATTGAGTTTGGAAGGCAATCAAAGAGGCGCTCAGGTTCCACAGGTTTGCTGTAATCACACAGCAAGAGATGATGCAAAATAACAAATATAATCTTCACAAAGAAAAAAAAATCTCTAAACAACCATTTTGTCACGCAGAGCATCAAGAATAGCATTATGCTTCTACATCAGGTAAACCATCTTCCTACATAATTTGAAGATATTTCTATGATTAATATTATCAAGTCAAGGACACCATCAAGCTGTTATCAATCCTAGATTCACAAACAATAAATCTTTGAAAGTTATAAAGCATAAGACCAATTACAACAAAAATATCAAACCCTATTAAGTATATATTAGAATCAGATGGAAGGTACAGGAGGGCAGTATCAACAATTCAACATAAACTTCAAAATGAATTAAACTGACCTCTAAATTCTTTTAATATTTACATGTCAAACATTAGGAAACACTATTCATAAGATCTATCCCATTCATACATAAATAATAAAAAAAAATTGAGAAAAAAATCTTATATGATAGCAGCAAGAAGTTAAAAAACCTGACTGTTACCAGGCTGCTGCTTCATTTTTGCATTAAAGACTGACTTATCTAATGAAATGTCATTTACCTGAGACAAGGAACCATCAATAGTAATTAAGTTCATGCAAGAACATGAACTTTTGGTTGAACATGCCACAAGATCAATGACATTAAGCAAAGTACAAACCTGTAAGATGATAAGAGCTGCTTAAACTCATCTTCTAGCTTAGAAATAGCTTTAGTTATCAAATTACTAGCACGGCTGACAATACCATCGTCACTCTTAAAACCCTTCTTGCTGCCAAAAAATCTAATGTTGCTTCTCAGCTGATCAATTGCTTCAAGATAGTTCTTCACATCTTCATGTGGTCCTTTAACTATTTTTGCTTCTGCCTGTATATTAGATCACAATGAGAACACTGAACACCATAATACACACACACACAAAAGAAAACAGATCATAAGATTAAGATAGTCCACACCACTCATATGATAACAAAAATATATTTTTTTAAGTTTCCTTTCAGCAAACCATATTTAAGCATGAATATACTTCCACCCTCCCTCTTTCCAAATTGTCATAAAATTTAGCTAAACAGATAACTTCAAATGAATGCAATAAAGGCAGAAGAAAGATGAAGCAAAAATTGATTTCATTGTACCTAAGGGCTAAGGCAGTACTTTAATGCATCAAATTGGACTAAGAATAATAAAATAATGATATATAGAAGTGAAAAAGATTATGATCAGCAAGACACAAAATGATTAAAAAAATTTAATAAAACAAAGAGTATAATGTTTTTTAACATCTCATCAGTATGGTTGGTTTTCTTTGGAGACGTTTTCCACCAAGCTAAAGATAGCAAGCATTAAATAGGCTCTAGCTGGGGCAGGACATCTCCCTATAAAACTTAGATAGATGAACTTAAAAAACACAATCTGGGTTTGAAAATTTTCCTTTCGACTCTTTTTGAAAATGTGTATTAACCTGCAATTGGAATTGTGTCTAGGTACACTGCATCATCTAATTACAGAAATCAGGATGTTAGGATCAAGAATAATATCATTGGGTTTAATATATTCATTCTTTATTGACAGAATTTGCCTATGTCATGGTTTTCTGCAAGTCTTTTCATGGCCAGTCCTAATGCAAATGAAAGAGAAGGGTTGCATTTAAGCCATCAACAACCCTTGCTATCAATTCTATTCTTCTTCTCAATCTAACTCCTCCACGAATTTTCATTTATTTAAGCAGAAACTTCCATCACATAGAGATGTCAGTGTCAGACTTCATTCTCAGATAACATATCATCTAACAACAAACACTTGCAGTTTATCATAACAAAATATTAGACATTATGAAGAGGATCATCACAAAGCATAAGCACATAAAAGCAAATTATAAAGCCTGACGCCAGAATCAAAGAAAGGAATAAGATTTATATTACTCCCAATTAAAAAAAAAAAAAAAAAACAGTTCAATTCAACAAATAGACAAATTTAGTGTGAAGCAGAAAACGAGGTGACTACTTAAGGAGTGAAAGATTGGCAATAGTAAAACAATGGTAACCACAACAAACGAACCTGATGGTACTGATCAAAGTGAGCCAATATGACCTCTGCAGCCTTCAAAGTCTTATCAATATTCTCATGAGCTTTCCGAATAGAATGCGTTCTGATCTGCAAAACCAATCCCAAATAAACACAATCAGCAAATGGGTTGAACAATGGAGCAAAACAAATTGTTCTAAAGTTGAGCAAAATTGACTTCGATAAAATGAATTTAAAATCGTAGAATATTATTGGTGCGTGTTTTTCACTGAATTAATTTTTGAACTGTAAACCAAATCAACACTAAAGTGAGTGAGCGACCTGCGTAGGACGCATGGCGGTTTCGAGGGCGGAGAGACGGTGGTCAAAGGAGCCAAGAATTGAAACGACGTCGTCGGTGATGGTTTGGCTTCGCTCCAGAGACTCTCTCATCGCTAACGCTTTCTCCCTCAGCATCGAATCACCACTTGCCACGCCCATTCCCATTAATATTTGTTTTCTTCTTCTTTCTTCCTCTCTTTCAAAGCTTTTGCTATGAAAAACACAAATCACAAAATCACATTCACACAAGACACAGCTGCAAACGAGTCATGTCCGCACTGTCGCCAGTTTCCAAGACACTGTCTGTTTTGGACTTTTGGCAAGGTGGCCGATTGGTAAACACAATAGGTAATGGTAAAAAATGACATTTCGATAAAGATACGTAATCATTCAAATTGGATCTGTAATATTTTCTTATTTTACGTTGGATGTAATAACTAAGTAGATAATATTATGTTATTTTATTTAATATTTGAGATAAAAAGTAATTAAATAAGTCATAAATTGTGTAAAAATATAAAATTAATTTTTTTGAAATTAATATTTGTTTTAATTATTTTACCTTTTCAATAGAAAAATATATTATATTAAAAAATATAGAAAATATTAAAAAAAATTACTTTCGTGTATAAATAATATTGAATTATAATAATTTCTTAAAAGCTTAATTAAGTGTTGATTTTTATAATGATATTTTTTTTCTCAATATTTTATTTAGACTCTATAACTAACATGGTCTATCAAGATACTATTAAATGTTAGATTTTGATTGAATTACATGGAGGCTAAAAATAAAGTAAAGTAGAGAAAGTAGGAAGTATATTTTAACAATAAAAATTAAATTGAATTATACTATGATTATAGAAACCAAACATTTAAGTATTTTTTTAAATTATTTTTCAAATTAAAAATTTTATTTTTTATAATAATCTACAAGAAATAATTATATTTTATAAAATTAATAAATTACGTTTCATAAAAATATTTTTTTTAAATTATTTTTCGTGAAAATATTTTTCTGGGTATTTTTTATTCAGAATATGTTCATGTAATATTTTTAATAAGAACTATTAAAATTGTATTTTATAAATAATTAATTTCTTATAAAATATGAATAAGTAAGAGAAAAAAAAATGTTATTACGTTGTAGTTCTAAGCAAAGTTTGTCTGATACTCTAATACGTTATAATCCTGTGTACACAGATCTTTGTGTGTGTTAATCTTGGAGAGCGAGTCTGGAATTATGATACACCAGAGAATCTTGCTTTGAATGTAATGGTTCTTCCATGATGAACTGTTCTTGTTACTATTCATTTTTAACAGCTCTCACTTCAAAATACTCAAAAATAATCATAAAATAGATAAATATGATGTAATATATGTTAAATGGTTGAAGAAAAACAATGAATTGTTTATCTAACATTTTTACTTACAATGTACCCTATTCATATTTTGAAAGCAATGTTCGATCATCAACTCATGGTGATTTAGCCTCTAGAAAAGCATAACGACCAGGCTTTTTTGCATTAACTGCACCACCAACCACTTCTATCGTCTTTGTTTCTGTAGCCGTTTATAAATGTATGACTTATGATAGTATTGCTTATTCATATATAATTGCGGAGCTATATGAATCATACAACACCATAAACCATAAAGCTCAGTCAAAAATCAAATTCTCTACGAGAGTTCTTACTGATTCAATTTGTAATATTCACTTTATGAGTATATATATCTTTGTTCCACATTGTAATTGTTGTAAGAAGGTATAAGGTGTTCCTCAAGAAAGTTAAGGGTAAGACATCCCTTGTATGTAAGAAGTTCAAACATTGAAATTAAGGTATTTCACTAGTGTAGTGAGTGTTCCAATGGTGCAAAGGTACCGAGTACTTTTCATTGAAACTTGTTAGAGGGAGTCATAGAAGCAATATAAATCATTGTATTTTTCTCTTTATATTTTCTTCAATTTAATCTTTCTTGAAATCCTTAATTCTATCGTTAAATCATTAATAGATTCAGCAAAAATACTAAACAAGTGTTCTGCAAAGTTTGCAAAAAAACTTTTACAAATGTAATTGACTCCACTCTTGAGTTTAAAATCACTTGATAATTAGTAAATCAGAACAAAAGGGGGTATAATTTCTAAAGTAAAAAAAAAAAACATTGAATCAGAATGAAGGGGGGACAAGACTAGATTTTAGGGAAACTTGAAGGACTACAGGTAATTAAGTCAAAACTATATCTAACTTTTTACATCAAGTACTTGCACAAACTTAAAACTTCTCGTATACATGAATGTCAATGGCACTGCAGATGCAGATTATACATAATTCAAAATTGTTCCCATGAAAATATTTTCCTATCTATTACTATTTCAAAAGAATATTGTATTCAGATTGAATTTAGGAGATTAAAATGACGATTATCTCCTGCATTTACTACTTTCGAGTTAGCTGACTTTACCTAGTAGAATAAGACTTGGTTATTGTTGTATTTACTATTTGTTGGTAATTAATCATAAACAATACAACTGATATGTGGTTGCAAATAATGTCACTGCTGATCAACCTAAATTTCTTTCAATGATTTTGTAGATGATTGAAGTTGTAGATCGCCTCTAGACCCAAAGTCAGATGTTGATGTAGTAGTAGAAGAAGAAACTGATAGATAAACTCCAGTGGGTCTCACTCCTGGTAATTCCATTAAAGGTTCATTTGGGTTTTGAAGAATGTTCACCACTTTTCTCATCCTTGGCCTGAACATGGAATCTGGATGCAAACAAGCCAACCCAACCATCAATGCCCTTTTGGCTTCTACCTCATCAAATTGGTTTTCTAGTAGTTTATCTACACACTCAAGCAATGCATTTTGAGCATGCAAATTCCACACACAGTCTAAAAAACTGTTCTCTTCCTTGATCCATTTTGACCTTTTCCCACATATGACTTCAAGTACTACCATGCCAAAACTATACACATCTGATTCAGGTGTAGCCTTCCCAGTAAAGCTTACTTCTGGGGCCAAATATCCTGGAGTTCCAGCTAGATTTGTAGTAACTGAATTTTCATTTTTGAGTAGCCTTGCTAGCCCAAAATCTCCTAAATGAGCATTATAATCAGTGTCCAACATGACATTGTTGGGCTTAACATCTCTGTGAACAACAGGGTTTCCACACTCTTCATGAAGGTAAAGTAATGATGATGCCAATCCTGTCAATATCTTGTGCCTTGCATGCCAGTTTAGAGTGTCCTTTCCTATGAAGCAGTCAAGGCTTCCATTTTGCATGTAATCATAAACCAATAGAAGTCTTTTGCCTTCATTGCACCAGCCTTGGAGCTGCACAATGTTTTTGTGCCTAAGACGCCCGATGGTGCATATTTCTGCTAAGAACTCTCTTTCACCTGTGTAGACAATATCAAAGAAACAAGGGGAAAACAAAATGGTCAATAATAGAAGAAAACTGAAACAATGGGGAAGTCTAATAATAGAGATCGTGGAAGACATGAAAAATAAGGTTATATACTTTAAGTAGGTTAATTGGAATCCAAATCGATATCCATATAATTTTCTTTTTCGGTTTGACACACCAGGTATCTGAAAATTACTTTGGATCATGACTAATCTGAGTTAAGGACTCATTTAAGGAAATTAAACTCTTTTAAAGCTTATTTTGTTTCCATTCACAAGTCTTGAACTTGAGACCTTGTTATAAGGAAAATCAAGTTCCATGTAGTTTTTTACTAGTTTCAAAACCGATTGAAATTACCTTTCCATTTTCATGTCCCTTCAAATGTAAAAATGACTTAATAAAAGTTTATCGCTCTCTTTTACATTACAATATTGTCTGTGTTTCATTTTTTCTTTTATTGAGGTGTGGTATGTTAATTAGGAGGAAAAGAAATGAGGCATATAAAGAGGGTAGGTGATATGGTTTCTACCAAAAGTCTAAAACATACCTTGCTTAGAAGATGCTGAAATCCGCTTTACTGCTACAGTTTTCCCAGAGTCTAATATGAAGCCTTTATAAACACTACCAAAACCACCTCTGCCCAAAAAATTTTCTCTGCTGAAGTTGCATGTGGCCTTTGATAGTTGCTTGTAAGTGAACATCTTGGGCATATCTGCAGCCTTCCTTGATAAGCTTTCTATATCCTCCTTGTTGCCCCTCGCATATCTTTTCCAAACTAACCAAATAAAGAGAAATAAGCACCCCGACACACAAACTGGCATGACAATTATCAATATGGTCTTGATGGAACCAATTTTAGTTGGCTGAACTGAAAGACTAGGCAGTGGCACTGATGTGAACACCCAATTGAGAACTTGATGGCTTTCAGGAAAATTGTTGCCAGTGGAGGCTGTGAAACCTACATAAATGGAGCTTGGAATTATGTCAGGAAGGTTAATTGAATGGTTAAGGACACTCTTTAATTGGCCTTCAGAGTATCCCAGAGAGACAAAAATCATTTTGTTCCATCCATCATAGTCAATTTTGACCTCAATGTCTCTTCCGCTTCTGAGGTCAATGCCAGTGCTATTGAGACTCTCAAATGCTAGTGGATTTGTGATGCTTGTAGTGACTATCCCAATGTGATTTTCATCTGGATCAAATTCATTCATGAAAGTGTCTATCTCCACAGCTATTTGACGAAAATCACCCCCTGCACAACATCATTTTGAGTTCAGACTTTAGACTAAAATGTTCTTTTTCCTTTAACATTAATAAATGAAAGTCACAGGGTCCTGACAACCCAAGTTTGGTTCTGAGAATCATAGTGATAGCATTCACCTTGTTGATGTATTTTACCAAAGAAAACCATTGGAATGATCGAAAAATATAAAAAGATTCTTATTTTTGGCCATGTGTACTCACTAGCTGGTTTCTGGTTGAAATCTTGAATTTGGAAAAAGAAGAAAAAAACCTATCCCATTCTTGTATTTGGTTTTTGGAATGTTCTCACTTGCTTGATCTTGTGGACCTATGTGTGCATTTGCAACATTTATGCAACTCACAAATTCACAATCCAGAAATAGTGTTTACACACTGAGAAAACTTACATAAAAATATCCCATTTTCTTTTTATACAACAAAAAAAGAAAACATAAATGCAAATATACGATCTAATTTTTTTCCCAACTCTTTTAATTAAGTCTAAGAAGATAAATCTACATTTTTTTCCTTTTAAATATATCCCTTGTTTTTCTACGAGTCAAATACAAAAATAAAAGTAGTTTCAACCTTTTTTTACTTTTCCAAAACATAGCCAGGGTGACATATGACCTGAAACAACGAACATTGAAACAGTTATATTTTGTACAAATAAATAATATAGTCAGTTTACCATGTGTAGAGCGATCAATCATGCCAAGGTATGAGCCATAGCTAGCATTTGGTGAGGGCCTATTATCCTGTGCAAACACTAGTGCCATTCCATCACCAGAGAAAGTTGAATTTTTTGAAAAGGGAGTTATCCTAATAGTGAAGGTGGTAGAGATAATTGCTGGCCAAACATGAACAGGATGAGGGTACAGAACCCTTCCCACGTTGTTGGTTGTGGAAGATAGTGGTAAATTTGAATTGCTACTTTGTTGTGGATCTGGTGTGAGACTTAAATACCCATTTCCTGCAGTGGCTGATCCCATACAAAGCAATTCACCATTGGTGCAACTTTCAGGGTTAAAAGAAACAAAGGAGAAAGTGAAGGGGTGGTTAATAACAGTGTTTTCACCACTTTGAGTTTGGATTAGGAGCAAAGTGAGCAACAAAAGCATGGACATGGTTGTTGTGGAAGACTTAGAACTTAGGGAGCGTTTTAATTAATCCTATATTTATTTTTGGTATGCATGTTGATATATATAGTGTTCTTGTAGCATCCTGCATTTTATGTGACTAAGGTTGACTTGAGAAACCAAACATATGCGATTTGTTGATTTATTTGGTGGGTTGGTTGGTAGGGTCTCATGAGACAATAATGAGTGAATGCAAACATTTAGAAGGGACAAGAAGCTTTAGATGCTGCATAGGAATTTATACCGGTTTTGTTTTTTTGTTATTCAAATTTTGTCCCTTCCCTTAATAGTTTTCTAACCCAAAAACGCCCAAGCAAGATATCCAATTAGCTCTATTCCAAAGCATGTACGGAAAAAAAATTGGTAGCAACATACTCTTTCTTTCTAGCAAATTCTTTATTACTAAATATTAAAATTAATCATGCACCGATTTTCAAAAATATTAATTACAATTTTTAAATGTATTCTTATTTAATGTTAATTCTATTATGTTAAATAAAAAGGTAAAATAAATGAATGGCAACTATGAAAAAAGACATGTTCTAGATACTCATTATAAAAATGATAAATAATTTTTTTTATTAAACATATTTTCAGATGCATTAAAAAATTATACTAAAAATATATTAAAAATATTTTAAATTTCTTAATTAATATCTTATTAAAATATGTCTAAAATTTTAAAATAATTTTTTTATTAAGGACCATTAATTTTTTAAATCACCTAAATAAGATAAAACAGAAACAACATAATCCTCAGGGTTTATCGACTGGACAACTGACAGGCACCTACTGGAGAGACTGTATCTACAGTCATCCCTATCTGAAACAAAGCCACGAACACATGTATTTATTCAGAGCCTAAAGTCTCTGTTGAAGAAGGAGATAAGTGTGATAATCATTATAAATAAAGTGAGTAAGAGTTACCACAACCTCATGAATACAACAACTACACAAACCTCAGAACTTTCTCCGATCTACCTAAACTCACCTTTTTCTCTACCAAAAGAATGTATCTGTACAGCAGCCAATAAAATTGATAATATGATCGAATACGCATATGTTCCTGAAGAAGCAAAAATAGAGGAATCAGTAGTCCCTCTATTGAGTCCTTATAATGTCTTTAGAAGGCATAAGTCTATTGCCAACAAAGTAAATAGGCTTATTCTCATAAAGAAGTCACCCATCAAATAGTATATCCAATCATCCAAGATGGACAAGTGTGAGATCAGTGTCACAACTCAAGAGCAGTATATCAATCTTGAGATTCACAGAATGTTCATCAACCACTGGAGAGAAGAGGGATATACATCCCTTCACTTCAGAGCTGTCAGGCTAATCCTATCATTGCATGGTAGGAGAAATCTGTCCGTCTCTGCTAAGATAGCTTTGTTGGACACTTTATATATCCGCTATGAACATGCAGTGATTGCTACTCTCTTGACCACCTTGCATGCGAGAAGTGTTGTTCTCACAATCTTTCCAAATTATAATATTTCTTTGAAAGATAAGACTCTGCTTACTAGACTAAAGGTTTAGAACCAATTGACTGGAGCTGAACAAGTTGAAGAAGCTCTCTCTGCCACTCTCTACCACCAGATCATTTACAGACTACAAAATCATGCTCATAATTTGTCAGTTCCAGGTGGAACTCATGATAATATGCTCATAGTTGCAAATAGGGATGAAGATGATATCCCTTTCATTGTCCAGATTCCAAGACAAATCTCTAGGGATGAGTTGATTAAGCTAATCCCTGTAGAATGGACAACAAACTATGAGAAGATCATACATAATAAAAAATCAATACAGTCTTTTGAAGCTACCTTCAGAAAATTTGTAAATGGTTCTGTCACCACAATTTTCAAAAAACCTGATGTTGAAAGCAATCTACCATCAAATTGTTTCCAATCTATGATGATCACACTTGGAGAAGTAGAAGATGGAATTCTCATTTACAGCTTTAGAGCTAATGGTACTCCAATCTATTCAGACAAATTTGATGGACATTTCTTGTGGGATGTCGATCCTTCTATGTGTGATTCAGACTGTGATTGCTGGATGCATACTGGAGACACCTCAAAGGAAGATTCTGATGATGATGAAGATGACCATAGAAAAAAAAAAGCCATGAAAACCTCCTCCTAAACCTTGAAGGAGAGACCCAGGATTTTCTCCCTACGTAGGTATCAGACAGAAAAAAGAACCTCTTTTTATCTATCAAGAAGAATTGAGAATCCTAAGGGAAGAAGGTCTTTTGTCAGATCCACCAAATGATCCTGACTTAATCACATGACCTCCTCCTCCATCACTTTGCAATTCATTTTCCTCTACTCCAGAAAAAACACCTCAACCCATTCCATGTATGATGTTTTCTCAAGAAGATTTTCCTTCTCTTGAAAGAAAAATTGATCCAGTTACTAAGGTCAACTCCAGACCTCTGATGATATCTTCAGAAGTTTAGGCTGATGGTGGTCTGAAACCTTTGTCTCAAGCTGAGGAAGTTTTAAATTGGCAAATTGAAAACTCCTTAGTTCAAAATAAAATCTTGAAAAAGATGGATTAGAAGATGGACAGAATAGTTGAATCTATCCAAAAAATGATGAAAGACTACAACATCTGTTTGCAAAGCTTCGTAAATATTACAAAGAATCTCAAAAGCAAATAGTCAAATTGGAGATAGATATTGCAAAGCTAACAGCAAAAAAGGCAGTCTTTACAGACAAATAGCATAAAAAGGACAGAGAAATCAAGAGATTAAAGAATCAGCTGCAAGAAATGGATGATATTATTGCAGGAAAGCAACAAAATAGGAAAACAGAAATAAATTCCTTTTTTGTTCCACCTCTTATACAATCAAGTTATTATTCTCCTTTTAGTCTTTCTCCTTTCTATTAATGAACTTTTACAGCACCATCTTATTCCTTACCCTCTACATATAGACCTAAACCCAAGTCCTCTACAAGTGACTGAAAAGGAAAAGGAAATATGAGTATCTCTTCTTTAAAGACAAACAAAACAAAAAATTTAGATTCTTTAGAAGATGAAAAGTCTCCTCGAAAGAAATCATCTAAAGGGAGTAAAGAAAAAACACCTTTTGTAGGTGTAGTTGTTGAAAAAGATGACAAACCATATTCCAGTTCATCTGAAGAGGTAGCACCTTATGAATCTTCAACAACTGAAGAAGAATCTTATGAATCTTCAACAACTGAAGAATTTCAGAGTGAATCAGAAGTATCAAAAATAAAATTCTCAGAAAAAAAATTTTATTGATACTACTGAGATACTAATGGTCAACACAGCAGAATTCAGTAATTTAAGAGGATCTTTTTATGATTCACCTAAGGAAGAGGAAGAAACTAACAAAAAAGAAAGAAAAGGATCCAACCTTAATGGAGGTCCTTATTTCACTCTTGATGACGTTTCTCCACAACATTGGAGAAAAAGATTACTCGATTTTGGGGCATGGTTGGATACTCAATTTATGAAGATAGATGCAGATCCATATAAAGTCATTGAAGAATTTTGTTGCAGAATGACTGGCACCCTCAAAGAATGGTATCATAATCTTGGGGGTGTAAAGCAGGACCAGTTTCATCAACTGGGAAATACTCACCAACTTCTTGGAGCTATACATCAAGAATTTGTGGGTGACATGAATCTTTATGATAAAAAAATCAGGCAGGATTATTTTGAAATGTGGTGTTGTTCTTTAAAGAAGAGTGATTCAGAAAGACATCATAGACGAATGGTAGAAAATTTGTATCTTCTCAATGGCTAAATGATGTTAGTCTAAAGAACACTTATGTTGCCTTTCTTCCTCAAGAATTACAACCAAAGATCCAAAAACTGATTGCTGCTCAAGGACAAGAGTTGACTAGTTTAAGTCTTGGACAAATTCATTAGAAGACATTGGAATCTCTTGATAAACTTTGCAGGACACACCTATTCATCTTAGATGTCATGAATGAAAGGTCAAAGTTTACAAAAGCCTGCAAAAAGAAATATCTTGAAATTAGATGCAAAGATAAAAAAATGTGTCTATTCATCTAAGAAAAAGGGGAACATAAAAAAATTCTCAAAAAAGAAGAAGAAGAAGAACAAGAAAGGAAAAAATAAATGCACGAGATGCTTCATCTATTGGAAAAAAGGTCACTTTGCAAAAGAATGTCCCAATAAAGACCTTAAAGCCCAAAATTTGGTGAATTCATTAGATCCTGTTGAAGGAGATATGGAATCAGAATACTCAGAGCAGGAAGAAGCAGACCAAGACACAATTTTTGCTATACAAGAATCCTCTGATTATTCCTCACAAACCTTTAGTAAAGAGGAAGAATATATACCTCTCTATTTCACTCAGGAGATACAAAGCATATCTCAAACTCCAGCTCAACCTCTTGTTGAAGTACAAGTCTTTTCCAACAAATATGCTACTCCTATTAAAGTCATAGCTTATATGGATACTGGAGCACAAAGAACAATGATGAATACAGATATCCTCCCAAAAGATTGTTGGACCAAACATCCAACTTTCTTTGTAGCAGCAGATGGAAAGCTCTTCAGAACAGACTTAATTTCTAAAATGCCTATTAGAATTAAGTTTTTTTCCAGATTGTATAGTCTAGACGAAAGTCATAGGAAGTTATCTTCCTAATAAAGATATTCTTCTCGGAATTGATGCATATTGTTTAGCTAAAAAGCTTCAAATTCTTCCCAAGGGAATCAAGTTCAAAAGAAGTTTCAAGCCACACACTGATATTCTGAAACTTTATTCTCTTGAAGAAAATTCAAAAGAATACTCTGAGATCAAGGAAAAGATAAAACGATTATGTGCAGATGGTCATGAGAATTTCTCTCATCCCAATCCAATCTAGAATAATCCATAGTTTTTTATAAAACTTCTTTTCAAAGTCAATGAAGATATCAATCCTACTAAAGTCACTTATCCTGGAATGAGTTTCAGTGATCTTCAGATGGCTAGACAAGAATGCAATGAACTTCTACATCAAGGATTGATAGAACCAACAAAATCAGAATGGGCATACCAGACATTCTATGTTGAGAAGAGATCTGAAAAACTTAGGGGAAAAAAAGAGGTTAGTGATTGATTATAAACCTCTAAATCATTTTCTCAAAGATGATAAATTCACTATCCTAAAAACTGCTTCTCTTCACACTCTTATCAAGGATGCCATAATCTTTTCTAAGTTCGATTTAAAATCTGGATTTTGGCAACTTAGTGTTGATCCCGCTGATAGATACAAAACTGCTTTCTGCATACCTAATGCTCAGTATCAATGGAAAGTTCTTCCATTTAGTCTTAAGGTTACACCTTCTTTGTTCTAGAAAGTTATGACCAGAATCTTTGAGCCTATCCTTGATAGTATACTCATCTACATAGATGATGTATTGCTATTCTTAAAAGACACAGAATCTCATAAAGACCTTCTCAACAAGTTCTTTGATCTTGCAAATACTTATGGGATTATGTTGTCAGAAAAGAAAATTCAATTGGCACAAACTCTCATAGATTTTCTGGGAATGCATTTTTCTCAAGAAAATTATCAACCTCAACCTCATATTGCACAAGAACTCTTAACTTTTCCTAACAAAAATTTCACCATAAAACAAATTCAACAATTTCTTGGAGTTTTGAATTATATTAGGGATTTTATTCCTAATGTAGCCAAATACACAAGTCCTTTGTTCAAAACTTCTAAGAAAAAGTCCTCCACCATGGAGTGCTAAACAGACTGAAACTGTTCGTCATCTGAAAAAGATAGCTCAAAATCATCCACCATTGAAGATTCCTAGAGATGGCAAAAGGATTTCACAGACAGATGTCAGTAATCATTATTGGGGAGTTATCGTACTTGAGGAAATTAATGGAAAGAAAGCCTATTGTAGACATGCTAGTGGACAATTCAAAGAATCTGAAAAGCATTATCATACCACCTACAAAGAAGCTTTTCCAGTCAAAAATGGTATTCAAAATTTTGATTTCTACTTGAGAAATCATAATTTTGAAGTTCAGATCGATAATTCTTCATTTTCCACTCTTCTTGAGTTCAAAAATAAGATTTCACCTGATCCTCAGGTTCTCAGATTGAAAATTTGGTTCTCCAGGTATGATTTTATTGTTAAGCACATAAAGGGAGAAAAAAATATTGTCTCTGATCTGTTTTCTCGTCCAAAAAACTCAATTTCCCTTGTTACCTCCACTCAAACTTATCCATTAATTTTTCCTCTCAACATTGTTGAAGCCTGCTCTAGTAACCCACACCATATGTTCCATTACCTAGCTCTTTCTTTACATAATCATGGAATTAAACCTAAACCTTCTTGGTTTCATCCAAATGCTCCTTATCTGAATATCTTTGCTTTATTAATGGATTATCCCATGATTGAAGAAGACTTATGGTACTTATGGTGTGTCTCTCTTTTGTTCCATTATCCCATAATATTTCCTACCTTTAGGATGTTTGAATTTCTTGATAATGGTCAAAATAACTCATCCTTGTTATGGAAATTCCTCACATGGTATCAACATATTCCTAACTGGAAAAAAGATATCCAAAAAGAAATGGAGAGACTTTGCATATGGAAAGAAGATCCAATTCCTCCTGATCATTTCCCATAACATATGACTGTTGTAATAATCCACAGGCCTTATTTTCAACATCCAACAACCAAACTGTTATACACTCAAAATTAGGTCAGATTTTGGAATACCTACAAAAAATTACAGGATATCTCTGATCCTAACAAACCACCTTTTGAGCAAGCTGATTTGATAATTCATCTACATGTCACTGATGGAGTCCGTGATCAAATGATGAAGGTGAATTCCACCTCTTCCAATATAAAATCGATGGATATCATTTGTCCACTTGACCCTGATGATCCAGGCATATGGGATAGAATCCAACAAGTCACTCCATCTATTGTCTCTTCTGACTGCCATATTGACAATTGGGAAAGAGAGGGCCAAATAATTATAAGTAAAGAAGCTGAGTCATCCTAAGCTGATATGATTATAGATTCCTAAGATCCTGATGAATCTATCTTGGAAGAAGCTGAATGGATTAGTGAAGATGACTCTAACCTCTCTCTGAGTCATGAGCCTATCTTCAAGGATTGAAAGATAAATAAAGAGTCACTTTATGGTTGTCAACTTTTGTAAAAGCATCTTTATGTATTATAAAGTAGCTTTAAGTGTGATCATATACTTAAAGTAGTTTGGCTTTGTTATAGCTTTGTTAAAGTAGCTTTATTATGTCAGAATCTTATCCGAATGTTTGTCTTGTTGTACTCAACCTCTCTATATAAGGGAGAGCTCTTGTTAGTTGAATGTAAGAGTTGAATGAAATAAAACTTGTGTGTTTTATATATCATGAGTTTATTATAAGTTTTTCTCTCTAAAAGTTTTGTTTATAATTACTATCCTCTAGTCCCTCATTAGAAAGAAGTATGCTCTGCACTAGCCATCTTAAACGGATCTTGTGCATCAGAAAATTTCTAAGTGAAAGATCTTGTTGCTACGGTCTTTTTTACTATATAATTAAGATAGAATGAGAAGTACAAGTATAAGAAAAATGTATATGAAGTTACTTAAAGTATTAGAAAGTGTTGTTGAAATCTATCTTAGTTATTTTTATTTAATTAATAGACATAGGGCCACATATTCAAGAAACTTGATTGATAACTTAAATAAAGTTTAAATAAAGACAAAATTTAGGTGTAGTATTATATTGTTGATATTATTTTTAATTAAAAATAAAATTTTATTTTAATAATATGTATCAGCCTTAATGCTAATGTGTGAACCGTTAATGCAAATTTTTATTATGCATATTATTGATATAAAACTCTAACTTTAATTAAAAAGAATAATATTTACAATTGTTTTGAAAAATGCTAGCAACACATTATTTTTAAACAAATGCAAATTAAAACTCTTACGCTAAAATAGCTGATTGACCTTTTTTAAGACTTCAGTCAACTCTTTTAAGTTTTACCACTGATTCTGTTCATGCCAACAATGTTTTAGCATTTTATTTCTCTTAATAATAAATGTGTGCATTTGTTTCAAATTTGGCATTTTCGTCTGCTATAGTCTTAAATTAAGCAAATCATATTCATACACGTACGTTGATTATCAATATTTTATTTCATCATGAAGCTTATTTTAAATTCTTTGATTGAGAACTTTTAGAGATATCAGATTATGTTACGAGTCTGTATAATGTCTATAAGGTAAAATCCATCTACTCCTTCAAGGAATGATCAGATTCACATTTTGTTTTGTCATATTCAGATATGAGCTCGATAAGTGTGGAGGTATATGTGAGTAGAAAGTGGAGAACCAATTAAACCAATAAACATGTTTGAATCAAAGTTTATAAAAATATTTATTTCAACCAAAAGCATCTTTCAGCCAAATCAAGGTCTAATATGAAGTTATAAAACACATACATTTTACCCATAAGCAAGAAAAAAGATGGCATTCACCCTTTCACTTTTTCTGTATCTTACTAGATATTTTATACATTATTCAACCTAAAAGTTGAAGAACTAAGCAATCCAATGTTCTTTATTCCTCCTTCGTTTCCTCAATGTGAAATTTATTGGATGCCATTATTTGACCTTTTATTATCAGTATTTCTTTTATCTTATAGGACATGCGATATAGTTTAATTTATTACTTAATATATTATATAATATTAAAAAGGTACATCTAATTATTATGAGTTAAACTACGGCGCACTATTAAACCATAAACCATGTCCTTACCAATTCAATGCAACTCGGTTAAAAAATATTAACCAAGTCTATAAACGCATGATCATCTTTACATGACCAGAATAAAAGCATTACCTAAACGTCATAACTTATTTCAATCTCCATAAGGACATTAGGAATTTATTGGAATTTTAGATAACCAAAATTATATATTGGTGCAACCTGCAGAATATCCCTCCTGGAAGTTATTCATGCATATTAGTTCTCCATGAAACAAAATGTAAATAAAACAAAAACCAGAATTACATGACACGTTAATGGAAAAGCAGTATCTTTCAGGCCAGGTTTGCTTCGCACGTGATTTTAAACCGTAATAAGCACCACAGTTCATGCTGTAATGGCAATTCACCAGAAGGGATGAGCACCATAGTTTCAGTGGTTACATCTTTGACCAAAGACGGCTTAAACTAGCTTGAATTGATCCATGAGGCTCGTCGGTTGGTAAATAAACATCATCCTCAAACTGCATAAGCATCTTTATCGTTCAACAACTTTAAGATATTTAAGACAAGGTAAATTCTAAACTTTAGAACACATCAGGTGATTGATGTAATGGTGGTATAAATAACCTATACTTTCACAATAATGACAGCTAAATGGTGACTGATATAAAGATAAGTTGGAAGTTGAAGCTAGTATACATATTTGAGCGGGAAAGGAAAACAAGTAGAAAATTGGTTCAATTAGGGTTATCGTCTGACAAAATAATAATCCTCTTTCATTCACGTTTTCTTGATTTTGTCTCTTATCTTTCATACTTTTCTTGGTCTACTTGGCCTACGAGCAGCATCACTTAACATTTTCTTTACCTAAAATACCCCCATCCCAAGGGAGGACCGGATCTCAAGTATTTAAAATAATGGACAGTAAATACAGGAAATGTTGATGTTGGTCTTTCTATGTCATCACAAGTCAGCTGTCAAATTATCTGTGATGGCAATAATCTGTAGCTGCAATTAGACCCATGAGTCCACGACTAAATTGAAAAATCAAATTATCTGTGGTTCCTCAATCTTTTTTGTTCCTTATAGGAAGATATCAATAGTAATAAAATCAATCAAGACTTTGTAACGAGTTCCACTAACTTCTACTACAAGTTCTTCAGGGAAAGAATCAATACCTTCACAATTTGACCATCCTTGTTTGAGAGATTGACTGGTAAGAAATGAATATTCGGCATTTTTAGTTGGATAGAAGCTATGTCAGGAAACCTGAAGCATAAAATTAGTTTGTGGCATTTAGAAAACCAGAAAAAGTTGCAATGATATGCAGAGACAATAGGCGGATAAATTTTGCATACATAGAGTTGGACATAGAGAAACCTGTTTAATGTGGCCTTCGCCATCAGGTAGAGAGTATTTTGAACAGATGGGCTATAGACTCCCACATTTGGAGGGCCAAAAAAAGTGTCAGCCAGAACCTTTTTCACTTCCAGATACTTGTCGGTAAAGTAGAGTGGCTTCTGAGGAATGCTATATAGCGATTCATATGAATACCTAACACCAGCGTAATGATCAATGAGAAAACTTCTCAGGCTTAACTTGATAATGCTTTATGAACTCTTTCATTTTATAATTAATGAATGACAATAAATATTTTTCCAAGACAAAAAAAAAAACCATACGGGGACAAAAATTACCTCCACAGAGCAGTTACTTCTGTTGCCAACATCCTGTCACGTGTTTCAGGGAGTGCTGTGTACTTGTCCCTTATGAAACCCTCAAAACCAGACTGCTCACAAGCCACAAACACGTGGATGCACACACCAAAAATAAGCTCATACTTCAACTTGTATTTTAAGTATGCAGCAAACCAATTTTAATACTTCCTAGTGACAAAGACTAACACCATTCTATCTAATACATTCCACAAACCAATTACCTAATAAATGACATGTACATATCTATATGCACATGCAAATTGCACAAGTACCATAGCACAAACATTTTTACTGTTTACCATCTGGACATGTTCGTATCATTCACAATGATATATGTTACTTTTTCAACCTATTTCAGAAATATGGAAAAAAAATGATCCTCATGAGCCTTTTAGGACCAAGGGTATTTCAAGATGAAAAATAAAATTAAAAAAAAAAAAAAGGATGTAGGGATGCCATGGCATGTATACATAGCAGCTTTTGAACTGGACCCTCTTGTTTTGATATGCATTTCCATTTTATTTGTTTCATTTTGTCTTTAGCTCTTTTGTTCTGTAGTAATAATTTTATCTTCCGCTTTTTTTACCACAGTCACTTTGAGTATCCTATCTTCTAAACAAGAATTGAGAATTTTTGTAGACTTATTATCATACTTCTGGTACAATACCACTGAGTTAATTAAAATCCACAATATTTCTGAGCCTTCATACAGCTGCAATTTAGTTTAAAATTAGGAAATCCATGTCCTGGTCACATCTTTGTCATATGTAACAACATCAATGATAATAATATTGGACATTCTTACAACTTACTCCTACTGTTTAATCTGAACTAGAGTTTATTTAGTCACAAGGTGTGGTTTTAAAAGCACTCTTCTTATTTGTCTTACTTTTGTATGTATTTCTGAATAAATTAGAGTAGAGTTAGAATCCATTCTCCTGCGTTACGAACTTATGTTTTATGTGTAATGTATGACTATAATATGATGCCTGCAGAAATTTTTTGAGCAAATTATCACACAAGTTGCTGTACCAAAAGAAAATAAAATTATAGAAGGTTTTTGTTAAATTTCTTTTTAGGGTGGGGGGTTAGCAACGTTACCTTGGTTGTCTTCAACAATGACAATCCTTCAATACCAGAAGTCAATTGTAGTGCACCAGACTTTTCTACTATTGCCTCTGCGGTATGCCTCTCAGATCCAAGTTTGAAACCTTACACAAATAAAATCAAGGACTTTAAGACAGGAAAGAAACAAACTGCAGCTTTTATCTGAAAACTCTGAAGTGCTATCTACTTTCATTGGCCTACACCTAAGTTAGATCCAATATTAGTGCAGAAAAAAGGACAGAAGTGGGAATAATGGCATCCATATCAGGTCAGATCTGTCCAACTAAATCCAGATCTTATCAATGATTCAATATGTATTCTTCTTCTAAGTATAATTACTTAACTGAAGGTGACGAAAAAAAAAAACCGAAAAAAAAAGTATTAACCAAATCAATAGCACCAGAAGAAAAGAAAACAAGGAACTGTCTTATGAAGCAAATGCAAGTTTGAACAGAACACTGGGTATCTAAAACTGTCTCAAAAAGATCTCAGATTTTATAAATAAAAAATCTTCATCTGTAACAAAAATTAAGTACAAAAACCTACAAAGGCAGAACCTCTACAAAGAGTGCGATAAAAATGAGTAACATCCTAAACAATTAATGTTAGTTTGACTTACCATGTTCATGAGGTTGACCATCTACATTGACACGTTCCCATGGTTTTTCCACAATATTTACAATAGCAGTAGTAACCTACAAAGAAAAAGTAAGAATTTTCTTTCTACCAAGTAGCACATGCTAGAAAATGCTTTTTCTAGGAAATAATCCCTTATTTTTCAAAAGCTCTTGTAGAAAGCTGATAAAAAAGGACAATTATTTCTCTGAAATAAGCTAAACTAAACATGCATGTAATGACGTTAATTTCAGACAAAAGACTGTTCAAAATAAAACATTTAGCTCAAAAAAACATCAGAGGAAAAACACAGTACAAGACACAAGAACAACAAAAACAAAGGAGAAAAAAATACAAATAATCTCCATATTGATATTAGATTTTCAGTCACCAACCTGCTTATAAAATGATATAAAGTGCTTAGCAAGTACAATAGCAAAGTCCTCAACAGAGAGTATTTCCGAGCATTCCTTTGCCTTTGCATATACCTAATTGCACATAAGTTCAAAATTCAAAACTGAAGTGAACTGATGATGAAGAATAAAAGACAGATGAAAATGATCTGGCAGTAAATGACATGTCATATTAACACACAACCACAAGCAAACATATTTTCTATTCTGTATAAATTCATCTTCACAGAAACATGTCCCAGAACAAGAAAATAGTAATTTATGTACATGATATAACCTCAAAAAGTTAAAACTTAATCTTATGAGATGAGTCTCTACTCTAACACAATGACAATATCATATCAGTTAACAGATATTCCCCTAGAGTGGTCACTCACTATTCACTTCATGAGAAAATACAAAAAAAATGGTATAAGCTGCTATCTAGAGACAAGCACATGAAAAGTGTTTTCACATATTGATTATCTCTAGTGGGGTGAGTATCATTCGCAAATAGTGTGTTTGGATTGAAGTTTAATTGGTAATGGATTCCCGTTTATTTCAACAGTACTATTTTTAACTTCTTGGTTGAATCCACATTTACAATATTTTCAAACACGCACTAACTATAAGCCAATCAATTACCTAGTAGCACAGTAAACCGCTCAGATTCAAATTAAATTCAATTAATATCACTGAACCATTCAAAACCACAATCTCTATCAATGGATCTGGATCTCAAGCGAGGAGCAGAGATTCAGATCAAAGGGAACCCAGGTCACTTGATTAAAAATTCACAGATACTATTTGCGTTATTCCCAAGTCAAAATCGACATTTCATCTCAATAACCATTTTTGTAATTAAAATCCGTAGCAATTATCGACATGAAATGTTAATCGTAATGAGAAAACGGCTTAAACAGTACATATATGCTACTGTATCATTGCCATCAACCAAACATCAAAAGCTAAATAATAATAATAAATTTCGTTACAGTGTTCTTCATGGTATCAGTGGCAACGATGTCAGAGTTGTCATCGCGGACATAAGAGTTGACGCAATCTGAGAGGAGACTGATGCCCACGCGCCACTCGACGATGAAGTGGCGACCTTGTTTGGTCTTCCACACGCGCGCAACTCTCACTCGCTCCTTCCCGTGCCTCTGATCGAACTTGAACCCTTCTACTACTTCCTTCGCCATTTTCTTGGGGAAACTTAGTTATGTTCTCTGAGTGAAGAGTGACTCAGCTTTCGATGCGTTTGGTTCTATTTATATGTGTGTGCTTCGTAAGAGGACAAGGGCGTGTTTGCTGGTTTTGCTATCGTCTCTCTCTCTCTCTGTAAATTCTGTGTGCGTCTTACATCATCGTGCAAACAAGTTCTATTAAATTTTCAATTTCTTGCTTCGAATTGGTTTGAATGATGTATTGGTTCTCCAAGATTTTCTACTGTACATGATGGTTCTTGGAGAAGGATATTGCTTTAGGAACCAAAATTTGATGCTACCAAATGTGTCTTTTATGTAAGGACGATATGAGAAAGACGTGACCAGACCTTTTCTTCTTTATTGTTTTCTAACATGTCACCCATGTAATAAAATTTTCTATAAGTAGCAATTCTTTTGTTAAAAAAATTTTATATTGAAGTTATAAAAGGCTTAAAAAAATATTAGAGTTTTGTTAACTTTTAGTTGAATTTAAATATTTATACATAATCATAAAAGTATAAGAAATATTTTTTAATAAAATTTTACTATTATTAATTATTTATTTTTAATTTTAAGAACTGAGATTAATAAAATTTAAAATATTATAAAAAAATTATTTATTAATTTTTTTCTTTTAAGTAAAGCAAGATAAGATTATAGTTTTTTGCATGTGAGAGAGTTTAAACTTGCTCGGTACATTTCATGTTCCTATAATTAGAGCTCACAAACTACTTGACACATTTAATTCAATTCAATGCAGAGAGAGACTTTAAGGAGCTGGGCCTAAAAATTGGATTTTATTTTGGTGCCGTAAAAGTGGTGCTCATGTATAAAGCTCGTTTTTTTAAAAACTTTTTTTTTTTGTTTAATTCACATAAGACTTAATTATATTAGACTAAAAATGTTAATATTTAATTTAAGCTCAAAATTTTAATTACAAACCTTAAATTTTATCATAAAAGTTTGGATTAACCCAATTAAATAAGTACATTTTGTTAATTTTTATAATACTTACAAAATACATTTTGTTGATATATATAATACTAATTAATTTTTTTAAATTATCTCCAATTATATAATCTCATGTTTATACAGTCTTTGGACCTCTCTCTCATTTCAGTTCATATTCATTTTTTTTGTATATCTTTTTTGTTGAAAGTTTGTCAAAAGTCATTATTTTTCATGTCTTGTTACATTAACGATTACTCGTTACTCTCGTCAATATCTAAGAACTATATAAAACTACATAGTTACTAAATAACTCAAAAAATCAATTTTATTACATAAGTGAATTCTTAACCTTTTATTGTAATATAAATAAAAAGTTATTATTATATGTAAACTCGTTAATTGATCTTTACAGTACTTTCTCTATCAATTAAATATTTTATCTATATTTTTTAAGCATATATAATTTATTTCTAATTGTAATAAAAAGCCTTTGTCATACATTAATTTTTCTTACTATTTTATTAATTATATGTATGATTTTTTTATTAATCTATCTATTCCTCAAATCAATGAGTTGTATCTGTTACTATGATCTTGGACTATATATATCTTTAGCCTAAATATATAAGTTTTTAATCTTTTAATAATTCACAATTTTTTTATTTTATATTTAATTTTTAATTTTTTCTAAATAAATTCATCAAAAAATATTTTTATTCCTAATTAAAATATACATTTAATCCCTATAATTAATAGTCTGTTGGAAATTAATCTTTTAAGAATATAAAAACTATAACTATAAATCATACATAAATTGTCAATATTAAAAATTAGTTAATTACCATATAACCATTTGATATTAAAAGTACATAAACTGTAAGTAGTTATATGGTAATTAACTAACTTTTAACATTGCACAGGTCTATATTTACAGTTTTCATATTTTTAAAATGATGTTTAATATAGTTACACATTTTATTTTAATTATTTAAATAAAATTTAATAATTAATATTTATTATTCTCATTCACCTAAATAACTTTTACATATAAATTTATTGTTTTATACTTTTTTAATGGAACTCTTTTTCTTTTACTCTAGCAATTTCAATCTTCCAATTCTCTGTTCGATAATTATATTTTTTAGATAACTTCCGCTAATATATTTGGTCCAGTTTGGATATATTATTTAATAAATATTTATCAAAATAAAATATTAAGTAGTAAAATAAATTAATTTTTTCTATAATATTAAGTAAATTTATACTTTTTTATTTTTTAAAAACATTTTTTATTTAATTTCTCTAAAAGGTGAAGAGATAAATAATTTTGAATTTATAAAAGAAATTTTAGTTAATTTTTTATATTATTTTTCTTACGTGAAAACTTAAAAACTTACCCGAAGCAGGATAATTGAAAAAACCAAAATGAGACTACTGAAAAGCCATATGGGGATCTGTAATGAGGTTAAATTGGGATGATGTGGAAAGTAATAAATAAACTTAAATGAGTAATCAAATTGGTTGTCATATCAGATAGAATCCCACGAGCAAAGCAAGCGTACAATTTTGTTGGGCCAAAATGAATATTTAAGATCAATACTTTATGCTATTTATGGGGATTGCCAAACTAAAGGATCAACTTAACTAGTCATTGCTAATTCTACTTCATTACACCATGTTCTTCCTTAATCCCTTCAAAATTTAACTTCTAAACAACCTTAAGGTTTACCAATTTCTGCGTGCTACTGTGCTAGGAAAAGTTAAAAGTTTCAAAATTGTTTTCTTTCTATACTACATAATATATTAATGTTTCTTGCTTACATACTTTTCCTTTGCCATAACAATTTTGGAGAAATTGTGATATCTTTGAAGTGAACTTCTCATATTTTACTAAAATTTTAACTGATTTTTCAATCTCAATCTTAATTATCCATGAATTACTGGCACATGTAATGTATGTTTGGCGGCTACCATGTGACATAATATGATAGTTTATCTATTTTTTTTTATGTTTATTGCTTAAAAATAAGATATAATAATTTATCTTACCCAGTTATTTTATCCTATAATTATGGTCCAAATTTTTATTCTAAATGGGGTGATTGGGTTATGAAGCATCATGATATGATAATTTTTTTTCCTATTCCATTCTTATTGATACTTCATACTCTTTTAGTAATTTATATAAAAAATATATATGAACATTTTTCATAAAAAAATATTATTAAAAAATTATATATTTTTAAAAGATCTATAATTTTTTTAAGAAAAGTATATTTTTTAAAAATACATTTGTAAATTTTTTTTATAATTTTATAAAATATTTTTAATTTTTTATAACTTTTTGTTCTAATCATAATTTTTTACCTAAAAAAATTTTACTTTTAAAAAATTGAATAAAATTATTGTAATTTAATATAAAATTTTAATATTATATGTAGATAAAAATATTGAAAGTAAAATAATTTAAATAAAAATCATTTTTAAAAAATTGTATTAATTTTTTTACAAGAGTAATTTTTTATTTAAATATAATTTATATTTTTATCTATTACTTTTAATTTATTTCAAATATTAAAATGGTTAAGATAATAATATATGCTTTACTATAATAAAAGGTTATTTCTCTTATTATATATTATATTTATTCATCTTGATATCCTATCATTTGTTATCGTATCATGTTCAGTAGATAAAAGTAAGTGCTTATTTCACAAGCTTGAATAATTAATTTTTTATTGTACATACTCTATGTTTAAATATAAAATGTATGATTAGAATTAATTTGAGCATATAATTCAATAATAACATTATTAAATATTTTTTAATATTTTAAGAAAATTCTTTTTATGTAAGAATAAGAAGAATAATTTTTAATTATTAGATCATATTAAGATTAAACCATAAAAGTCATATGATAATTTTAAAAAGACATGTATTTTTTACTATTAGAATATTTAATTTTAGATTCAATCTTTTTTTAAAAAAATATATCCATTTCTAACGGTCCAGATTTAGAGCGAATATTTAGAAATTTATTTATTTTAAATTTTGTTACACAGATTTAGATAGAGAATATTTTTTTTCTTTAAAATTTCTCTTGCAAAATCTATTTCTAAATTTGTAGATCAATTTTAGAGATAAAATTCGAGAAAAAAATAATTCTTCTATGCAAGTTTTATTGCAAAATTTATTTCTATGTATGCACAAATAATTTCTTTTAACTTTGAAAAAAAATTTCTTTATAAAAGTTTTCTTACAAAATTTGTTTGTAAATTATTTTTAGAGCTTGAATTTGAGACAAAAATAATTCTCCTTGAAAATTTCTCACCAAATCATATCTAAAATTATTAATCATTTTTAGATAAGAAATTTGAAATAAAAAAATATTTAGGTGTATATATGTAAAATATCATGTAATTTCAATATTGTAATGATTGACAATTATCTTTAAGTGGTATAATTTTAAATATACTTCTAATACAGATAATAGTCAATTGGTGACAATTAGGATAGAAATTTGACATGATTGGTCTTGATGGGATAAACAAAGTATAATGGCATTATTTTTTAATTGTTAATATTATTTTAATGTTATTTTATTTATGATCATAGTTTAGGTGGAGGCCATATAATCACTTAGTCGTGAGACAAATTACATATGCATTTGTGTATAATAATAAAGATGTTTGGATATTTGTTACCCCTCATATGCTTTTTTATTATTTGATAAGACAATCCAGACTATGTTCTTCATCAATTTGGTGGAGCCTAATATATTATACCTTATTCAATGAACATTGACAAGCTTCATGACAATGATGGACATAGAGTGCAAGGTTAAGCAAGATGGCGGCCTAATCATTTCAAGGTGTATCATGAGTTATAGGGTGAATGTAATGTTTGCCACATTAATGTTAACATGGTTGACAACACTAGGCCATCACGTGAGTACTTGTAGTGATACTTGATAAGTTTATATTTTAACATGCTTTTATAATCTATGTATTTATTTGTGGTCATTATTTTATTAAATTTTTGCATTAATTTTTATTATTATTGTGCAGATTAATATGAGGTCACATTTAGGTTTTGGACGCATTTTGAACTCAAAATGATTGAAAAATAAGGCTTTGTAATAGTCGACACGCCTATACCCTCGCAGTAAGCACAATCATGCTTCGAGCCACATGCATGACCATGCTTATAGTCATGTACGACTGTGCTTACCAGCAAGAAGTTTAACTATGAAGAAATTTTAGAATTTTCAAACCCTGTTAAAGAAACCCGAGAGGCAACAACCTGAGGACACTTTTTAGACATCTTTTTGATATCCATCTTTCTACGCCTTT